TGTGTGTGTGTGTGTGTGTGTGTCTGGAGAAAGGTCCCAGTAGTCGGGAAAGTTTGGATATTGAAATAAGAGCATACTCTTTAATTTTTTCCCCAATATCTTGAGAAGTTTTATAGATGTGCTACTTTCTGTAACACAGAGTGTCAAAACCAAGATTGGCGAAAACCCCAATTTCTATCACATTTTTAACCTTTGGTGAAGTACAACATGTTGCAAAAATAACTAATAAAAACATTTACACTAAAAAAAATATTATAAAACCCCTTCAATATGTTATCGAGAAATGGTTAAACGTGCGTTTTCTGATGGAACTAAATAAGTAAATTGTTGACCAGGTACGACTTTTTGCCCTTTCACACCGTTGCTCAAAAAAGCATTCCCGACAAGTATGACCTATCTCCAGGCACACACGAATACTTACCCGAGATTCGAATCAGGACATAATATTTTGTCTCCCCACATTGCATGTTTGTACTGTAGGAGCAGCATTGGCGTATGCTTTGTAAAGGTTATAGTGCGGTCAAAAATTCGTGGCGCGACTTATTGGCAAGTATCTCCTCAACTATCGAGCATAGGTTCTCTAACTTTTGCACAGTGACTTGTATCAATTTGTCTTGACAGACCAACATTTTTGTAAACACCTGCAAGCTGTATTCCAGAAAATTCCTTAATGAATACTAATAAAAAATCAGAGTGGGTGGTTTCTACAGATTTTAAAATACTACAGCTGTGGCAATATTGCTTCTAATAGCAAGTCCCTCATGTTTTTCTAATCGAGACATTATGCTTATTGAACGCATGTTTTACAAGCCTTTAGTGCAAAAAATGTGTTCACTATAAAAATAATTTATTGTTACAGGTTTTGCAAGTAAAAATTGTCATTGATGAGCTTTGACGTAGGCTATATGCGCAGTCAAAATGTATGTGAGAAGCGGGAAGTGCTGTGAACAATACCATTTTACGCGTGACAGAGATTTCAAGTATTTTATATAAATTTATGAAGAAATGTTTTTTAACCTAGCCCCAATTGTTCTGGAAAATATGATTAGGTTAAGGCAAATTGATACAAACAGCTATGCGAAGTATGGAAGACTTTGATTCACCCGTCAAAGAGATTTTTGAGGATAAGTTGCGCCACGAATTTTCGACCGTACTATTTTAAGTGAAGCCTTTTCCGTGATCGTTCAACACGTCAGGTCGGTTCCCAAGGCGGTTTGCCCTGGTATCCAAGACGGTCCAATTTGGCGAAGGAGCCCACCTTTAAAGATTCTAAATTGTGTCAATAGGAAACGGGAGGGGGGGGGGGGGGAGGAGAGTAGAATCAGCTTTGTGCATTAAGAGTATTTTAAACAGATATTAGATAATTGAAAAAAAAAAGCTAAAACTCTTTAGTGGTATCATAAACGCTCCTTTTTATGTAATTTTCTTGGTTTGTTTGTCATAGTTAAGTTTTCTTAAACACGCCATTATCAAAATGCTTTCGGAAATCCTCTGTTTGAATCTACTATTGACCTTGATTCATACAAATATCCCCGGCCCCTCCCTTTCAAATCAAGACATCTTTTCACATAAGAAAAGATAAGATAAGATAATACATGTACTTTATTATCCCAGAGGGAAATTTTTCAGAACCGTAAAAACACATGCAAGTATACATAAAATATCTAAATTGTATATTACTCCCATTAAAATTCAACATGAAAAGAAAAGTGAAGGTGACAAAATGTACATATCACACCAGATGCATCATTCAACCACGTACTGGAACTTGATTACAAGACCTCTGGAGTTATATACTTGTAGATACATACTCTAAAGAGCAATACACAATATGCTTATTCTGACAACAGCCGTATGCTAGATGGCAAAAGACTTCTTTTATATTTCTTTCTTTGTTTTTGGAGGTACATATCTGCCCCTGCGTGATCTTACAATTTGCGTGGAAAATGGGTGTTATGGGTCGTTTATGATGCTTTTTATCTTTTTAATAACGTGGTGTTTTAAATTTCATCAGTTCTAGTAAAATAATATCCAGAGATCTTGCTGGCTTTCTGAATGGTTCTGTCAAATTTTTCTTTATCTTTCACCTTACAATTCCCAGCCCAGCAGCAAATACAAAATAATAGCACACTTTCAATCATAGAATGGTACAAAAGGGACATAATCCAATTACCAACACGGAAATATTTTAATTTCCTTACTGTTACACGTTACCGATACTAGCTCTTACTAATACTAATATTCTACAGTACATATACGTATGACCTCTATATGAAAAACCAACCTACATACTGTAATGAGAGGATAACTGCTATCTAATCCTAGATTCTACTCGTTAGTCTATTTACGTTGGTTTCAATACTCACTGTTTCGAGCGGGGAACGATGAGTGTGGGTCGTACAGGTCCAGAGCTCCATCCACTGTGTCGACCCACCAGTAGCGTCGATCCCTGCTCAGACTAGGTTTTAGTCGTGGCCCGGAAGGCCAGTTTAACCTTCGCCGTCTGTTTATATACCCCCCTTGCTCCCTTTTTCTCCTACACTCACTAGGCTATACTGAGTTTGTTCACTTATTTCACGTGATCCTGGCTTGTCTGGTGATCACAGCGAATTATAAACCACACATACCTTTGCCCAAAACTTCCTAGAGGTGGTCAGTTTTCTATTTTAGCTGCACGTGCTATATCATTATCCTTTCCAAGGGCCAGGCAGCTGAAGGAGTCAATCCGGGTGACAATGACGCGCTTCTTCAGCAACAACCAAGTGATGGAGAACCGTCAGACACCTCCATGATCCTGAATGGTGAAGCGACCGTATCCGTGTCCTCGTCACAACTAACTGCCGTCACCGCTCTTGATATTGATTCTGATGTCTGATGCCCTCCTGTCCCCCCAATGCCCTCTGCCCCCCCCACCCCCTGTTTCCCCTCGCCCCATGCCCCTTCCCCATCCCCCGCACCCCCCTCTCCAACCCAGTCTGTCCCCTGGCGAATGTGCACTAACTAAACGAGTTGATAGCTTATGACGTCACGGTTGTTCAAGGGACGGAGAATCATTCTCGCCAATAGTGGTTACAGTTTGTAAAGTATTTGTGCCACGACGTGATGGAATCAGGCGCTCGTCAATTTTTGGGCATGTGGAGTTATTGATAGCTTCTGAAAGCTTAATCAGTTGCCTAGCTTTCAATGTACAAAATATCCATGAAGCTTGAATTGAAGTCGAGATATTTGCAATTGAAGGGGGGTGGGTTTCACTCGTAAAATTAATGGGGAAGATGGTCGCCAAAGTTTGGTAACTTCAATAGCTTAAGAGTCGTTGAAATTTGAAAATTACATATTTTGTGCCTTTACTTTAAACAATGATTTTCATTAAAATTCACATAGAAAATGTGTTTTCAGGTATGAATATAAAAGGTGTTTAGCCCCAAATCAAAATTTCGATAAAAATGGCCAAACTGGTTGGAAAATGCCTTTTTCTTCTATTTCATTATTTGGACAAGCGCCTGATTTCACCATGATGCCTCACATTTTTCATTAGTAATACAGTTTGGTGTCATCACAATCGTACTTGATTATTTGTTCTCTGAGTTTGTGTATAAGAGAAAAAAGAAAGCTACTATTTCACACTCACACACACACGTGTGTGTGTGTGTGTGTGTGTGTGTGTGTGTGTGTGCGTATGTGTTTGTGTCTGTGTTTGTGTGCGTGTGCGTGCGTGTGTGTGTGTGTGTGTGTGTGTGTGTGTGTGTGTGTGTGTGTGTGTGTATCCGAAAGCGATAGATGTAGACTTCAGCCGTCACCCAGGAAAAATTCAAAATCAATTCCTAACAAACTAAAAAATATACAATGTGCTCCGCGCGCGTATGACCTTATGCCGTTGCGAGCGCCGTAAAACACTTGCCAAAAAAAAAAAAGAATACTTGAACAATCTCAGCCTCCACCCTGCTCCCTACGAGCTCTATAGCTTGTTGTCTTTCGTCAAACCACGGTTAAAACAAGATATAATGGAATCGTTCTGTTTAGTCTGCTCGGATTTTTTTGCATCCCGGTCTTAAATGTTTTTTGTAAAGTAAGGTTTTACACCGCTCACAACTGCATAAGGCCATATGAGCGCCAAGGGATGGATGTCAACAGAGAAGTCCAAACGGGAAATCAGGCTTACTCTGCTCACCTCTCTAGCCTCAACAGCACAAAGTCTGCTTCGACTATCAAGACACCCCGGAAATAGCAGTTCACAAGAGAGTGACAAACATACAAAAGAAGTAGAGGAAAAATGACGATAGTAAAGATGAGGGAAGAAAAAGCAGCAGTCCCCCCTATGTTGTTCCACACAGTGTGAGCATGCCATTTATAAATCAGCCTATTTACATAAGAACATGTTAATATCATCCCTTTGGGAATGGCCTAAAGGCAACTTTAGTCAGTTGCACTAAAATTTGGATGACCAACATAATCTGAAAGCCTGTTCTTAGAGGTCACTGCAAACTATGGCCCCGACAAGTTTTCTTTGATGCCAGGATGTAAATTGTATTAACTAATGTCTTGTCTTGTTGTGAGTGTATGCGTGAGTGCACCTAACCTTTGTAACGTCTATTGCTATTGTTAACGACCGAGACAAATTTCTCCCTGCGAGATGAATAAAGATTGAATGAATAAAGATTGTCATTGTCATTGTCATTGTCATTGATTTACAGCATACACCTAAAACATTAAGAAGTTGACATATTTTCCTCAACATCGCACTTTAAGGCCCCTTAAGACGGGCAGTTCATTCATCAACAAACTAACAGTTTAGCCGACAGACACCAGATCTGGGTTATTGCTGAACTGACAGTTTGTCGACGAGGGAAGTTCTATTCAGACGTACAGTTTAAAAAAATTATCCTTAAAGTGGATTGTTGTAGTAAGGTCCAACATCAACGAAATGGCTGAAGCAAGTTACCTGAATGATTTGGCAGCATTTTTATTGTTCTCAAATAAAAAAAAAGGGATCATCTTGGCTAAAGAACGGCTTTTAAAAAAAGAATCTATACACGCACAACTATTCTAGAAGAATTACGAGCCTACTCAACGGACTTTAATAATTTGTTACGAATGGATGAGCCAGCATACCTCTATATTCTACAGTTGGTCAGACCCATGATTGAGCAACAATCAACAGCGACGAGAGAAGAAATCTCTCCGCATAAAGATTAACAGCAACAATTTCTTTCTTGCTACAGTTATATATAATCTATCAAGACATCGCATTCACATCTAGAGCTAGTATTTTTGCGCCATCACTAGATTTAGGTCGAATTATTCCACAGACATGCTCAGCTATCTATGGTACTCTTTTATGAAAGTATGTCTTTCAATATCTGGAACATATTAATATTTAGCATTATTTTTGTTGTTGTTTACGTTATTGAAGACTTTGGAGATTTTGTTATTAATAATTCTGTTTCTTGCCCTGGCCTACTTAAAACGTATTCGAATGAATAATAATTATGGTTTCTCAAAACATACAAAACACACAAAAAATATTAATTTTGTAATCCGGCATTAAATTGTGTTTCTCGCGTAATTTTGACTAATTTTGGGTCGCTGATCACGAAGTGTACTCATTTTTAAGATTTGGCCAGTAGTAAGGGAGCTTTTGGAAAGCATTTTAAGTCACCCTGGTGCAACATCAAAGAAGCCGCTCCCTCATCGCCAAGTTTCCAGTTCGCCGGCTGGAAAATATCTGGCTTCCCCAGATATCTGGTGGCTGGAATGAGAATCCTTCGATATCGAGATGATTGCTCCTTTCCACGCTCAGTTTTACAGGGAAGTTGACAGGATCCCCGCCATTCTTTCGATATCCAACAGTCAGTTTGTCGATCAATGAACTGCACTTGTAAAGGGGCCTTTAACGTTGATCGACACCTAAGAAACACGAGTCAAGAGACCAGGTGAGTTTTTCTCTAACATCACGTGGAGCATGTGGAGACATCTAAACTACCGTAGGACGAAAATATACCAACTTGCACTAAAATGTGTGAAAAGGGTGGTGTCGCTGTCTCCAAAAGAGCATTTTGGAGCTAGGTTACTGTAAGTCATTATCTTAGTGATCCTGTGTATGCAACGAAAGAGCGCTTTTAAAATAGGGCCCAAAGAGTTATTACTGGATCAAGATTTTTTGAAAAAAATATTTTTGTTTGCTCGCTGGACTGAAGAAGGCCATGCAAATTTTTCCTGGGCATAGGTAAATTAATAAATGAGCAAGTTTTTTTTCGATTCCCACAGACGAAAGTGAACAAGCTACAGTCTAATATATTAAACACCGCCCAGCCCTCACATTTCAATACAAGCTCATATATTTCCTCCGGAAGCCTTCGAGACGTCTTCACGCGAGTCTCGAAATGTGCTCACCGTTTGTTGTACTTTTCCTCGATGCTCAGCGTGTCATAGTGGGCATCAGGCAGCCCTCGTTCCTTTATGTGGGTAACGTCACTGCCACGAGTCTTAATACTATAACATGGTCGCTGCTAGATCTATCCCGAAAAATGCTGTTTTGAGAAAATTGAAGTTTAAGTTTTTGTCCCTTGTTTAGTTTCTTTAAAAGACAAGGAGAAGTTTTCTCTACAACCAAACAAATATACACACCAATGAAACCAAACTTCTCCTATAGGTAGTGCAATGCCCACTTTTGGTGTAGGTCACGATCTCTGGAAACCCCCGAAATCTGGGTTAGCCCGCTAGTCCTTAAAAGCGACTATATATATTAATCTCTTTTGCATAGATTTACATATTGGAGGTAATATTATATTGATTATCCTGATATTCCGTCTGCCCAACATCCAGTACCACACAGCGGAGATTTATCACCCAGTTCCTGTCGAGCAAGAGACAATGACAGACTTGAATGAAAGGGAAGAAGATACCTCTGAAGAACAAACTGAAGTTTCAACCCCAAAAGAACCCGATCTTTCACTGAATGTATCAAGCAAGAGTACCTCATAAAATCACGCAAAATGGATGGAATAACCTATTTAGAGATTTACAGCGGCCAAATCGCAAAGCTGAACTGTTTTGTCCAAGGCTCCTGTAATGGAATTTGCTTGCTGACTGTATGAGAAAGAACACATTTAGAGATCTTGATAAGGATTTTCGACTGCTTTTACAAAACAGAGTAACTTGGTTGCACCTAACACTATGGACAGTCAAATAAATGTGGTGCTGTGTACGATAAACGTGTGGAAAATGTATTTCACCAAGGCATTGTAGCCATGGAAAATGATATCAGGGCAAATGGAGTGATAGTGTATTGGCATATTACGATTTGTTATTTCTAAGAACTATACCAAACCTTGAAGACAAGGGCCAAGCCAAGAAACAAAGATTCCAGTAAGATGATGTAACCGTCTTTTTTAGCCTTTATTTATTATTAATTTGTTAAAATTGTGGAAACCTGAATATTTTGAAACTGAACCTTTTACAATAATTTTCGTGTTCAGCGCCCAAAAAATCCACAAAAGTGATGTTTGAGCCCCGAAGCAGAAACGTTGTGAAAGTTTGTAGACCCGTGTATTGGGCTTTTATATTCTGTAGGTCATCCAATTTTTAGACCCCCTTTCAAAGACCTGATACGTTTAAACAAAGCGATTTTTTGTTATCCCGTTTTAATCCTATAGCTAAACTATACTACTACTTCTACTACTAGAACGACGAAGGCGAAGAAAAGGACTCTACTACTCACTACTTCTACTACAAATGATAACATCACTCCTTGGTGATTAAGGCATGTAACTGGAAAAAATGTTGGGTTGATTTTAAGATCACCGTGTTTTTATCAATATCAAAGCGATTTTAAGTAGTTTTGCAATACTTTATCCAAAGTGTAATCAATGTGGAGTGTATTTACATAACAATAGCTCAGCAGAAACATTTTTTTCGGACATGGGGCTTGTTTTTAAGATGGCTATCGTCTGCATTTGAAATCGACTTATACAAAATTCCTTTAAACTTTGGTGAGTACCTCCCAATCTAATTCTTTTTTTTTTTGGTAAGTGTTTTACGGCGCTCGCAACTGCATAAGATCATAATATGAGCGCGCGGGAGACACCAAGCATTTTCACTTGCTCTGGGCCTGCCCCTGCCTCGCTTGTTTTCAATTTTGCCAGTGACAGCTTATGTCTATTCAGTTGTCCCAAAAACTGCATATGCCGTTTCCTGATTGTTTTTAACAGTGAGCATCCCACATGGGCTTCATCAAGCACTACCATTATAACTTTACAATTACCAACTAAATACGATCGAGACGAACCTCTTGTTGGTTATAAACAACGATTTGGAGGCACTCATAATTACACGCATAAACAACCAAATATCTAAAAAAGAGCCACGTATTGATAGGTGGGGGTTGACAGGTGCTCTAGTGTAGTTAACTCGTTTCCTATCAAACATCTATCGACCATATCTCTCCTCATTTTTTAGTTTGTTACTTGCTTGTAACACCTCTAATCTTCTGTACTTAGGACGTAAATACGTTGCAGGTGCTGTAAAATTCTCATTAAAACAAATTTTTTAAAAGCAGTGATGGAAACATTTCATCACGTGAAGAGTTTATTGAAATGGCAATCGCTTCTTAAGCTCCATGGAAACCGCAGAATGTAGTATACGGCATTTACCCCCTTCTTTCCCATTTAACATCTGTCGTCCTTATCTCAGCTCCTCCCTTGTTGCGTGTGTTACTCTTTTGTAACACATATTCTTTTCTTCGGCACTTATATGACCTTATTGTGTTGCAAGAGCCGTAAACTTTTACTAAAGCTAAAACTAAAGCTTACTTTCTCGTCTTACTTATCTTTTTTTGAAATCCCGATTACCTTAGAATCTAAATGAACGCATCTTTTCCCTCTGATAGTCGACATACTTCCGGTAAAAGCGGATAGAATAATAGACAGCATTTACGCCGGTTCTCTTCTTTCCCCAGAGATATAATATCAGAGACTCAAGTTCAGGATATTGTACAACATTATAAACATTGAAGAATGCCTTCGGTGAAGGGTGGGTTATTTTGAAATTTCTCCCATTTTAGAAATGGCTGTCTAAATCTGAAAAGTTACCCTTGTTTTCCGTTTTGCAATACCTTCCGTACTTATTGGAATGATTCGATTTGTACCAGATGAATGCATCGTTTTCAGCCTGAGTTCAAACTGTCGGACTTCTACCCTGGGCAGCCGTTGGGGATGTGTGCAACCGTGGCTCAAACTCTGCCTAAAACAGCACTTTTGCAACCACTGTGGCCTTGTTGCACTGGTCAATGGGCTGCTTTGGCAGCAAGAACAAATGGGATATAAAACTCCCGCCTCCCAGAATCCCTGACCTGACAGACGACGATCTGGTGAATGTGCGGGAATTGTGGGATTTGTTTTGTAAACTGGAACGCTACGACGACATCGCCCTACAACTATTTATAAGGTGAAAACTAACTGTTAGTGTTGGCCCTTACCATGTGTTTGGTATGTTGTTACCTTAAAATTACAAATTTCTGTCTAACAATTTTGGCCGTTTAGAGTTACATATACCAGGAGGTCAGACACAATATGCTTTATCTGCGCTTTCAAAATCGTAAGATTGTTTGGAGTCGTTATCAAGATATTCAAAGAATTGCATTTGAAAAAGCTTGACATGCTGTGAAACTCATAATAATTTTTAAACGTCAAATTTCTAAAAACTAGGTATAGTGAGCAGATAGAACTTTGTCATTCTTAGGAGGTAGCGATGTGCTTGTGAGTTGAATAATGTTGATCCTTACCATGTGTGGTAGGTGTTCCGGGGGCGAAGACTTACTGTTGGGAAGATTTCAGTAACGAGCGACCGCTATGTAACCTCTAGATTATACTCATTGGCCATCAAAATCATTACAGCTAGCCCTAACTATGTGTGGTATGTGTTTGTGAGGTGAGCACCAGAATTCAAATTGGTCGCTTTTAAGGACAAGCAGGCTAACCCAGATTTAGGGGGTTTCCAGAAATCTTGACCTACACCAAAAGAGGGCATTGCCCTATCTATAGGAGAAGTTTGATTTCATTGGTGTGTATTTTTTTGGTTACTGAGAAAACTCTCCTTGACTTTTAAAAAACGGAACAAGGGACAAAAACTTTACCTCTGATTTTCTCAAAACAGCATTTTTCAGGATAGCCCCCTTGTGCTTAAAAGCGACGAATTGAATTTACAAAACATTTCACGCTGAGTTGAAGTTAACATTTGAAAATGGGTACTGCTCGTATTAACCTATTTCCTATTCGTTGTCTGAGTACAATCATGATCCTCGGTGGAGGACATTGCTAATTCATTGTTCCACAAACAACATGCACAACTACCCATGGGGAGGGGAGCCACTCGTGTGCAATAACGTCTCGGTTATAATATACTAGAGGTAATATCTTTTGTTTGTACTATTTGTCTTCTGTTCTAGTCCTCTTTAGTACCAGTCTGTTCGCTGAGTGCATGGTCTAGTACACATCATACATGTACCCGGTACTTCCTCCTTAACGTCTGCTAGGGATGCTGCTTGAGTTCTGTAGATGCCCCCCCCCCCGACTGCCCTGCTAGATTCGGCGAAGCTGGGGCCTGTCCACTCGTAGAGCTCACGTTTAGTATTATCACGGCTGGGATTAAGAATGACAAAATAATCCAATGTTCCATGAACAACAGCTTGGAGCAACTGCCCTGGTAAAGGGTGCCTTTCACAAGTCACAAGATTTTGTAGTTCGTACTGATAGCAGATCTTTCCGCTCTTTTTTGGACCTACCTGTAGATGGATGGTCTGGGCAAGAAAAGCTGATCCCCTAAAAAACCCTAATTGGGGGGGGGGGGATTGCTCTTTCCCTGTATAATCCCTGTCTGTTTGTCTTAGGATTTAGGATTTCAGACTTATACACTCCACACACCCGCCCCCCCCCAATCCCGCCCCTCCTCTTAAAACTAAAACTAAACGATGGAGAAGTCAAAACAAACGACCAAATAACAGTCCCCGCCCCATTTTCCGTTTCTTTTCAAACCAAAATAAATAAATTAATAAATAAATAGCTGTATAACTACATAAATAAAACCCCAACAAAATCATCTGATATACCGGTGGAAGCACAGTGTATTGACAGCTGTTTGTATTTTTCAGTTTATTCCACCATCACCCTGAAGCTGTGGACTACTTCCAATCCGGCAAGTCAGCGAAAAAGAAATCCACGGACGCTGACTGGATCATCTGGCACGCTCGGTTGTCCATGATGGTGGTCAACTCGGCCGTTATGCAACTGGACAGTCCGGAAGACGTGAGGCACATGCTACTCGACATGAGAGACCGCCATAGGCTAGCAAACGGACCCCAACTTGTCCATTTCGAGGTTCTTCTTGGGATTTTAAATTTGTATTCCTTTTTATTTTTGCTTTCCGCCTTAAGTACAAGTATGAGCTCACTTAAGCGTCTGTTGTACAAAATTTATGCTCTAATATGGTCGCTTTTAAGGACAAGCAGGCTAACCCAGATTTCGGCGGTTTCCAGAAATCTTGACCTACACCAAAAGTGGGCATTGCCCTACCTATAGGAGAAGTTTGGTTTCATTGATGTGTATATTTGTTTGGTTGTAGAGAAAAATCTCCTTGTCGTTTAAAGAAAATGAACAAGGGGCTAAAACTTTACCATCGATTTTCTCAAAACAGCATTTTTCGGGATAGCCCCCTTGTGCTTAAAAGCGACCATATGTCGCTGGCAGAAGATGTGATACAGATTCCCATACGTATGGGAAGTCTATTCATCTAGTACTTCCGTCTGTCTGCGGGGGTGTTGAATTCCATTGTCATCAGAACCGAAACAGCCCACCTCCTATATATTAATGATCAATTATTTGTTTAATCGATATCCACCATCTTTGTATCAGCAGCGTCCGTTATCATTCTACGCGGCTTCTTCCAATGGTAGTGAATCGTGGACATCAGGGTCACTTTGGGGTTACATTGGGGTCATCGCGGGAATCACCTTGAGGGAGTCACAATGAGGGAGTTACTTTGTGGACATCTTAGGGGTCACAGTGGGTTTACTGAGGGGTTCAGAGCGGGGTCACCACATAGGGTCACAGTTTTTTTTTCCGGTAAGTGTTTTACTGCGCTTGCAACTGCATTAAGGTCATTGGGCGCCCGGGACACATTAAACATAATTTTTAGTTGGTAGGAAATTTTGAATTTTGCCCGAATGACGGCCAAAGCCTACTTTTATCGATTTTAGACAACCAAGGGATCTTTAGTGTGCGCTACTTGCACACAGGACCTCCTAGATTTTTCGCCCTTGTCCGAGAAGGCTATTTGTAGATCTTTCGTACCATAAGATCAGGGGGTTGGCTTAAAGAAAGCAGTAAGAAGGAGCCAAGGAGTAGCAGTAGAAAGGCTGCAGAAAGAGTCAGGAACCCAGAGGATCGGGCAAAGGAGGAGAGGGGGTAGGGGCAGAAAGAGGAGGCGAAAGCAGACGACAGAACATTGACGGCAGAACATAACTAAAGAGCAGGAAAGGGGTGAAAGGAGACACTTTTAGAGCAGAAAAATGTCCGTCGCTATCCGGATTTCAACCCGGAACCTATTAAATGAAAAGTGAACCTCGTAACCTCTATGCCATGAGAAGCCCCGGGGGTTACAGTGGGGCTGCACCTGTGCTTTACAGGAATACGATTGTACGGGTGGAGATGGTTGTGAAGTACGAAAATTTTGGGACGTTTACTTTACTTTTACTTACATAATAATTATGTTTGTCCAAAGATACAGTGGGTATTTTAGTGCAAATTGTGCTTTTAATTTTCTAAAACATTCTTTAGAGGCTGGAGGGCGCTATTGGTAGGTAGTTCTCCTTAATGTTTTCCCTGTCTGTCTATCTGTCTGTCTGTCTTCATGTCTGCCTGTCTGTCTGCCTGTCTGTCTGTCTGTCTGTCTGTCCGTCTGTCTGTCTGTCTGTCTGTCTGTCTGTCTGTCCGACTTCTTCCAAGAACTAAACAGCCATTTTTGTTTCAATGTGAATTCTCTTTATTCAAACAAACAAACACATTCTCCACAGCAACTAATGAAGGACATGGACAAAATGATGCAGGACCGTGTCAACAAACGCATCTTGTCCCCAGAGGCCAAAGAGTCGTGGAGAAGGTTCCTCCTAGTTTTCTTCGGTTTCATCACAAAAGACGGACTGCTCCAGCCCGCAGGGCAAAGCGTAATTAAACGTAAAAAGAAAGAAAAAGAACCCCAACCCGAACAGACAGAACTGGAAGAACAAGAAGAGACCATGTCTGTGATTCTAGAAGAAGAAGATTAATTTCAATTGACGTTACCGGTAAAGAAAGCCAGATAATTATGGTTTTGCTATGATAATATTATGAGGAACTCTGTTGTGTGGGTGAAAAAATCTTAACCCTATCCGTCATTTTGTACCCCCGGGGTTGTATTCCTCACATTTTACAATACTTCTAGTGCGAAGATCTCTTTGAAACTTTCAGTATTTCTCTAAGAATCATTTTGACAGACTGCTATGCAAAGCTTACGGATCGGATTAACAAGTAAATTTCCTCTTTGGAAAGTGGTGGCACAGAATTTCTCACGTCGTATGGATACGACAGTAAAACACGACGTACGGACAGGGTTAATGAGAGTGGACACTGGTTATATCTTTAATTTATCTTCTCTGACCGACACACTGAACGACTGCGCGCTCCGTGAGCTCAGTTGGTGTCGTGCTGGACGACGGAGTGAGAAGATGGTCCTGATTCGAATTCTAAACTAAGTGTTCTTGATGAAGTCAGGAACCCAGAGGATAGGGCAAAAGAGGAGAGGGGGTAGGGGTAGAAAGAGGAGCCGAGGGCAGGCGACAGAACATTGACGGCAGAACATAACTAAAGAGCAGGAAAGGAGACAATTTTAGAGAAGAAAAATTTCCGTCATCATCCGAATTTGAACCCGGAACCTATTAAATGAGAGGCGAACCCCTTAACCTCTATGCCAAGCTCTCAATCCATTTGGCTCCTTCCTGTTGGAGACAGACGTAAAATTTGGAGACTTCGCTTCTTAGAGAACCTTTTTTGGCGCTGTTCCTGCGGCGACAAGGTCGTGTTTACTAGCCACCCACTGACATCGGAATTTCAACTATCGACCCGCAGTAAACGATACATTTCCAAAAAAAGAAAGAACAGACAGATATAGAAATTCATTCGTACCAACTGCAGTGAGGTTACTGAACACACAGTGCTACAAATGAAACACACACAGAGAGAGAGAGAGAGAATGAATGTGTTACGGAGCGGGTTGTCCCAGCCCGTGAGACATGTATTTACTTGGTGCACCTTTAAGTCTAACTTTTGTAACGTCTACTGCCATTGTTAACGACCAAGGCAAATTTCTCCCTGCGAGATGAATAAAGATTATCATTGTCATTGTCATTATCATGGTCATTGTCATTGTCATAGTGTTGCTATGAGAAGGGTCAGCCACAAACACGAGCTACTGTTTTTCTTCTTTTGAACGACTTGCCAAATGGAAACGACGTTTTAGCACTTGGCATTTAAGTTTCATTCCGGCCTTTTAAGCTTTCAAAGACGTAACAAAACTACGTCACTTCATGGCCAGGTATCTGGTGTGTGACGGTTAGACATTTTAAGGCTTTTGCTCGCCTGGCACGAGTTCGATTCCAGAGTGGGGAAGTTTAGTTTATCAACCTCTCCGTCTTTCTGCTGGGATATTGTATACTATTATAGCTATGATATTGTAACTCACTCCACGCGGTTTGAAGTGACCTCAATGGTCTAAATAAACGGTGTAGATCATCATCATCATCATCATCATCATCATCATCATCATCATCATCATCATCATCATCATCATCATCATCATCATCATCATCATGGTATTATAACATACATTAAACTGACTATGTTGGTGACTAATGCCACAAATGGAGACGAATAAAGCCGAGAGTGGGAAAAAAAGGGAGAGATGAGAAAAATGACTTGGGAGCAATGTGAGAATGTCACGGCATGACGTTTGGAATGCCTTGTTTAAAAAAAAATATTAATAAAATGTACCGTAGTGGACGTTGTTTCAGAAAGTGAACACGAGTTTTTTTTTCTTCTTTTAATTTCTTTATCTAGATTTCTGAAGAATGAACAAGATTTTCTTCGCCCCGAAAGAACACTGATTATTCTTTTTCTGTTCCTTTCTCAAAGTCAACTACAAATATAATGTCTTATTCGCATACAGACACATACATACATCCAAACACTCACACACACACACACACACACACACACAT